CATACTCTGCGAGAGGCCAGCTGGGTGGTGCGTAGACGCCCACCACCGCTACGTCCCCCCATCGAACCGCGACGGCTCCCCTACCCGCTGCAATGGCTTGGATTTCTGTCTTCCTTAAACAATAAAAACAAAAAAAAAAAAACAAAAAAAAAAGATAGCTCAGAAAGAATGTTACGATCGTTGTACGAATCTCGAGCAATACCGACGACGGGCTCAAGTTGGCGTCTCGGTCGGTATACCCAAATCGTAAACCGCCGGTTCGCGATTAGAGCGCCGGAAAAGTCTCTCCGAGCGCCCGAACGGTCACCGAGTTCTATTCATTGCGATCTTTCAAACGTACCGCATCAATTTAAATTCTCTCTATAAAGTGTTCGTGGCGACCAATAACTAATTCCGTCTTGTGTAGTTCTGTTCTTTATATGTATTTTATTGTTATTGTGACGTTAATTAGTTATTTAAGTTGTATTAAATTGAAAATACAACATTTAAAAGGACAGTGCCGATTTTCCTCCTCGAAATCCAGTGACCATTCCACGCTAAAGTCAACCAGTGATTTCCTACGGATTGGTGTCCCCATATTCACCAAATCACCACACCATCCGCAACAATCGTAAATAAACAGACGCTCGTAAATATTCGGAAGGAGAGTTGGTGGTGCTTCAAATTACTAGTGAACTATCTGCAGAAAGCAGTCGAAAATTATTGGCAAAATACAAAGAACCGTTCCGAATACGAACTGTCTTACTAAACGACGTGTATGAACTAGAAAACCTACCAGAAAAAGTAAAGCGACTACGAACAATCGTGGCCGCTAACATAGTTAAACCGTGGGTAACGATACAAGCAGACGAGCATGACGATGCTCGAGGAAGCAGATTATATGTATATCCTTTGCAGATGTAGTCCGATGGTGGTGCATAACCATCATTAGAAAGTGTATAATATCTCACATTCTTTTTTCTAATACGTAACAGAAAGAGAAAAGAGCAGACATGCTTACAGACATCGCCCGACGATCAGACAAGGTACAAGGGTTACAAATGACAAATGGTTACAGGACTGAATTACTTAACGAATTGAGAGAGGCAACAGGTGCCACCGTGCAGCAATCCTGGTGAGTTCAGGATGAAGGAAACAACGTATGTCAATGGAAATTCTGAGCGTACCCTAGCATTGATCGAAAACGATGTATTACGCATGTCAGGTCAACATCGCCTCAGATGGACGCAAAGTGTGTCTCAGGTAGCTTCGGACTTCGGATCAGCGCTTAAAGTGCAAACCTCGACCGAGTGTAATGTTTGAATCCATCTTCATGGTCCGACGACTAGCGATGGCCTTGCTGAATTGTCCATATGCTGAACAGGCGAAGGCTTTCAGCAGGATTCCGCCACCATCCTCCCTTCGCCGAAGAGGCATTCATGCGTTGACTGTGAATGTGGTAACATGATAATTGCAAAGTGTTGTTATTGCAAAAAAACCGGCAACTTTTGAAATAAACTTTTCTCAATTTTAGTGCGCTTTTAATATCTTATCACGGACATGATTCTGAACAATTTTGTTCATATACAAATTTCGCGGAAAGGTTTAGTTTTCGAGATATTAGCGAAAAATTGTTGAAAAGTTTTGAAATCAACTTTGGACGATTTTCATGTCCTTTTAATATGTTATCAGGGACACGATTCTGAACAACTTTTTCCTTATCCACAATTAAGGGGAAGCTTTAGTTTTCGAGTTATTAGCGAAAAACTATTGTTACTAATATATTGAATACAATTAAAAGATTAAAAGATTATTTTGAATATGTTATTTAATTTTGCGCCGCCTCCGAAAAGGTTGAAATGTATTTAATATAATACCTAACGAGTAAATAGGTTTCATTTATATCTGTTACGTAATTGTATGATTGAATGAAATAGAAATTACTTCATTAGGAAATAGAAATTATTTTATACTTTTTAGTGCATTTCGAAATCGGCGTATTTTTTTTCTAAAAATTATTTTTTTTATAATCTACTTTTCGGTTTTTCCTGTAAATATAAGAAAATTCGAAAGTCTACGTTGAACGTAGACCGTTAACGTTTTGTCAATGGCTCTTGAAGGGAACCGTTAAAGCAATAAACAGTTCACAAGCTAGACTGGCAAGGGGGGTCCTAAGACTAAAAGTGTCCTTCTCAAAATACGCACTACCTTTTATTTTACGCCCAGAAACAGTTTTTACATTTCCTTCAGCCGTTTTACGCTATAACTCGGTCATTTCTTGCACGTGAGACAATATACCAAAGTAAAGATGACAGTTTTTTATTTATTTTTTTGTATGAGACTTTTATCAATAAATTTTAGACATATTTTGATTAAAATAATTTAATCAAACATAAGTGGCAATTCGTAAAGATAACAAATCTGCTGAATTATTCATAATGCCAATACATTACTATTTTTTTAATTTCAGTTCTTTTTCATACAACTTCTCCCAACATATTTATGACATTTTAAATACGATATAATTGGAAACATTTACTTGCAATAATTTAAAAATAAATTTTTACGTTCCAAATTACATCGTGTTTTATCTCATTTTAAACAAGAAATTATTATAAATATGTTGGTAGAAAATTTATAACAAAAAAATTAGAAGTAAAATGTGTAGTACTATACATGGTATGTTCCAAAAGTAATGAGAACGAAATTCCTGCGCCGCTCCTATTAGTCGCAGGGGAATCGGACTACTTGGGCTAGGTGCGGGGGCCCTAAGCTTTCCAACGAACCCGGTCTCAGGGCTCTCCTAGCTGTGAAAGGGACAGGACGTGAATTTTTGTGAACCCCTGTTTGGTGACCGTGTCGCGGAAAAAGTGGAGTCGGCGATCGGAACAACAATACGCGATAAAGCTTTTGTGCTAAACTAAACAAATCTCTTGAGGAAACAAATAAAATGATTCGTGAGGCTTATGGGGACTCTATTCTATCGTACTCACAAGTTTTGAGGTGGATAAAGGCCTTTAAGGAAGGGCGGGAAGAGGTTCACGATGATCAATGCTCTGGGCGGCCACCAACCAGCAAAACAGTCCGTCAAACAGTCCATAAAGAATTTCTTCCTGAAGGACAGACAGTTAACACCCTCTATTACGTGGATCTGCTGGAAAGACTGCGAAAAAGGGTCGTCAGGACGAGAAAACAAATCACCGCTACCTGGGCGGTAGGAGGAGGTTACTCAATTCGATCAGTATATTTTTTTTTTTTTCCTATGTATGTTCGCCAATTACTTAATTATGCTCATGGCATTTACGCAGACAAAAAAAAAGCCGGAAGAAAGATCGATCGAAACGAAACCTTTTGCATCTGGTAGGTTCTGACTCCCCATTGGTACCATTATCAAAATATTTTTCATTTTTTAATTGCAAAGTATTGTTATTGCAAAAAAACCGGCAACTTTTGAAATAAACTTTTCTCGATTTTAGTGCATTTTTAATATCTTATCACGGACATGATTCTGAACAATTTTGTTCATATAAAAATTTCGCGGAAAGCTTTAGTTTTCGAGATATTAGCGAAAAATTGTTGAAAATTTTTGAAATCAACTTTGGACGATTTTAATGTCCTTTTAATATGTTATCAGGGGCA